TCCTGAACCGAGGTGGCAGTGATCGTAGAATTTTTTTCACCAAATTTTCTTGAGTGAATGGTTCTCCGAGGACCATAGCCCGATTTGCTAGCTCTTGCACACGAGTGTGGAAAGTCACGATGTTTTCATCTTCGTTCATCCGGAGCTCCTCAAAGTCTGACTGTACCAGTTGCAGTTTCGATTGTTTTACCGACGATGTGCCTTCGTAGGTAGCCTCTAGTGCTTCCCACGCGCCTTTAGCTGAATCATGGCCTGCAACAATAGGAAATTGACCTTCATGAATTAGCCCATAAATAATATCTAGTGCCTTATCGTTGTGTCCAGCACTTGTTTTCTCAGCTTGGGTCCATTCATTTTCAGGTTTTGTCACTCGAGTTGCATCCCCACTGGTACTGGCTTTTGTCGGATGTTCCCAACCTGTTACAATGATACACCATACTGCTTCACCTTGTGCTTTGAGATGAGTGCGTGTGCGCACCTTCCAGTATGCATAGTTGTCACCGACTAGCTGGGGAAGAGCTTTAGTATGCTCCATTCTGTAACACTCAATAACCCGTGAGATTGAACAATTTAACAAAATCAGAAATAATAATACTAACCGCTGAAGGATTGAGATCAAGGGGCACGGAGTAGCCAGATCGTCAGACTAATAACTTAAGTCTGGAGGCTCTGATACCAATTGAAAAAGCCCGTGTATCTTGAAATCAATTTAACACTAAGGATTCTACTTGATTTTATATTACTAGACAATTTCGCTGTTTAATTAAATCAATTCAATCAACATATAAATAACGAAATTGAAAGCGTAAATAAAGTAAAGACACAGTAGAATTGTTACGCAGTTCGGAGCTCCTTCTCCTACGTCTGCGGGGCAACCCACGTCTGCCCAATCCACTAGATGTTCACCACAGAGTACTACAAGAGGTAACTACAAACGGCTCACAGCCTTTACCACTACAACTCTTCTAAAACACCTACTCAGGACTGAACCGTGCATGCCATAAACATCTTTGGTGTAGCACTTCAGCTGTCACAGGTACTAACTCGTAGTACAGATTTAAATCACAATTAATATAATCAATATTAAAGCAGTATTGAAGGAAGCTTGCGTATGGATATAGAAATTCAGAATTGGCAACTTCCTCTTTTGATTTCCCTTCCTTTTATAGTGTACGAAATCCCCATTCCACCAAGCCTTGAATGTAGCTTCTTTATGTGGCTTGAAATCTTCTCAACCACATCTTCTTTTAACTTGATCTTCAGACTTGCTCTTTGTCTAAATCATTTCCAATAAACCTCCACCACACATTTTAGCTTGGTCCAAACTATTAATTACAATTCATGCTAACTAACATTTACATAAAATAAATTAATAAATTAGCCAATCTAATGTGTACTTATTTGTACACTTACAAAATTTTTATTTTTTTTCCCTATCTTTGTAAACCCTAGAATTAAGCTTTGCAGGGGCGGGCTTGTATATATGCAGATGGCCTAAGAATGCTTTTGGATATAATTAATACTCCATAATTAAAAAGAATATTTAAATATAAATAAATAAAGATATATATATATATATATATATATATATTTCCCCATCCATCACAAGTTGAAACAAGACAATATATCAAATCGCACAAGAGGTAAACAGTGTGCAGAGTAATTATCAATCAGACATGACTGATGAACTGAGCTTACTGATCAAAGTTCAACGTAGTGGATATATCATATCATATATATACATATATGAATGAAGTCTCATACCATACCCAATTAACAAGAATCTTCCAATCAGACAATAATGTCCTAGTGGGACCAAAGACTAGTATTTTGTCAAGACTTTTATATATAAACTTTTTAAATTATAAATTTTAAATATATAATTTTTATAAAACTTCTTAAGATTTTTGTAAATTAAATCTTGTGTGAGTTTATAAAAAATTTACATCATAAATATTTTCCTGCAACTTCCAAATTCGCTCCAAATCACATGTTTTATATAAATATATGCAATTGGTCTATGAGTTATAGGTAATAATAGATTTTAAAATGAAAATTCTTAAACATGTATTAAAGATTATGGCATAAATGGCTGCTAGCTGATAGCTGTTAGCTGTTAGCTGATTGTGTTAATTAGAGGGTATAATTAGTTGATAACATTAGCTGTTGTAGAAAAGTGTTTGGTAAATTAGTTGTTAGCTGATAGTTGTTTGGTATAATTTCTTTTCTGAAGAAAAAAAAAACTAATTGAAAAAGTTGCTTGGGGTAGCTTTTTGAATTTTAGCATTTTGGAGTTGCAAAAAGCCAATTAACCAAACACTTATATTGATATTTTAACTAAATCAAACAATTATAATCATTATTGTGTGGACCATAGTCTACACAAGTTGTGTGGACCATATTTTGTATACTGTAAAATAATGTACATTCAATCCAAAAATAATGTACATTCAGTACAAAAATAATGTACATTGTATTCAAGGAATGTACATTATATTGTATAATGTACATTCAGTACAAAAATAATGTACATTTAGTATATTAAAATGTACATTTTGTTATGGTCCACGTAACATTGGTCCACACAATAATTTACCAAACAATTAATAGTGGTCAAATAAGTCAAAATTAACCTATAAACCAATTTTTTACCAAACAGGACCTATATTAAAATTAAGATGTTAGAACATGTATAATAACTGATGATTCGCATATAAGGTAATAAATAATTAAGATGTACTCCGTAATTATTTATATTTCTCCATCACCAAATACTATATATACTCCGTGTGTGTGATCAAGTGAAAATAATGCTTCCTTTCCAAAAAAAAAAAAAAAAACAGAGTGAAAATAATGCTTCATGTAAAAAATGTTGAATAATCTTATATATCTATGTGGGTTAATCAACTGCTAGAAAATAATGGAAAAGAAATGCAGGAGTAATTTCATAAATATTACTCCGTACAATCTTGTTAGGAGGCGTTTGGTTGGAGCAAGAGAATTAGGTGGAAAAGAAATTGCAATTCCATGAAAGATGAATAATGTGGGAATAAAGTGGTAATTTAAGTTCTAGTGTTTGGTTTGAAGAATATAATTATTATTGGAAATTTAAATTTCAACGTTTGGTATACATGAGAATTATTGAAAGATAATAAGTAGTATAAGGTCCAAAATGCCCATTATTATTATTATTATTATTATTATTATTATTATTATTATTATTATTATTATTATTATTATTATTATTATTATTATAAATCCTAAATGACCAAATTCAAATTTTGATTTTGAAAATTTATGTAATACGCTATAAATAAACTCTAGAATTGCATAACGAAAATAATAAAATAGATAAGGGGGGAGTTTGGAGAAAACATATTTCATTGAGGTTGGCCTACCGATTGATGTTCTATGTTGAGAGTAGAAGAAGAAGACACGCTATAATCGAAAGAGAGAGGTCAAACATCAATTTTAGGTTTAAAAAAGAAAGGGATAATTTTCTCTCAAAGTTATTTTTGTTCATCCTAAAATCCAGAGAATTTAAATACCAAGGGGGCATGAGATTCTAATTCCATGAAAATGAGAGAATTTCAATTCATTGGAATTGCAATTTCCTCCAACCAAACAAAGGAATTTGCTTGCCTTTGAATTATGTAGGAATTAAGTGGGAATGGAATTGTAATTCTCTCCAACCAAACGCCCCGTCAAAGTTTGTAATAATTATAAAAATGACAACTCATTTTTTAAAACTTTGAAAAGTTTGTAATATTTATGAAATTGCTCATGCATTTTGTTTCCATTGTTTTCTAGTTGTTGATCAATTCATATGGACGAATGAGATTAACCCACATTTTTATAGGAAGCATTCTTCTTATATGATCCTAATTCTACACACACTCCAGTTATATTTTCCTTTTGTTAGTATTAAAAATGTAATTGTGAGATTTGTTCTTTATTCTAATTGTGTTTATGATTTATGACTGAACTTTATTTGTAATTTTTTCATGTCAGTTGTGAAATGTATAGTGTAGGTTAACTTATGAATGATATCAAAATTTTTATTCGAGTAATTTAGTAATTATATTTATATGTATTAATTTATGAGGTTTATAATGTGTAATGGGTGGTAATAAATATTTAAATTATTTTTAATTGGTATGAAATATATTTTATGGTCAATTTATAGAAAAATACTTTAAAATGAAATTTATTTTAAAATAATTGTTTAGCTAGGTAGTCACAAAATTTCAAGTATGTCCTTATATTCAAATTATTTTAGAAAAACTTAAAATAAGTTTTAAAAAAATACCAGGACTATGTGGTCCAATGGTACCCGGGTTGGACTTCCATTTGGAAGGTTGTAAGTTTGAGCCTAAGTGGAGGCGTTATTAGCTCTTTGTGTTTCAATAGGTTGAGAAAGTATATGAACAGATACTACAATCTAATAGAGCTAGTAGCATTCAAAAAAAAGTTTTAAAAAAATATTTATGAATATTATATCAATACTTAAATGTTATGGGACAACATGAAAATATTTAAATTATATGTTGGTATATTTACTTCTAAAGTGTGTTTTGGTCTTACTCTCGAAAGAGATTTTCTCTTGAAGAGTTTATTTGATAGAAAAGGTTTAATTTTATTTCACAAAAAGTTTAAGAATAAGATCATGCATAACACATTAAACATAAGAGACTTACTTTTAAAAGAAGATTCAAATACTCATAAGAGTTAAGTCAACAAAAGATATGATCAAACATAAAAGTAAACAAAAGAGATATTATAATAGAAGACTTTACAAAGCAATAAAAGATTCTAAGCAGAAGAGTTAAACAAACAAAATATATGTTTTTTTATAAAAGACTATACGAAGTAGAATATGTTATAAAACAAAAGAGTTAAAACATTACAAGAGGTTATAAGTCGAGATCCAAAGAAAAGGTTTGATAATTAGTGGAGTGAAGCATTAGAGGATCAGAGACAAATAAGGTATATTGGTAATTGCTTCCATAGCACAGTGGTAGTGCGTTTGCTTTGTAAGTAAAAGGTCGTGAGTTCGATCTTCGCTGGGAGCTATGAAAATTTGTATTTTTAAACGCCTTCACAAGGATCAATCTCCAAGTCCTATTGTCACTAGTTCAAACTCCGAGGATAGTCCTTCAAACAACTTCATCTTCAAGATGTTGTTCTTCACTATCTAGCTTTGTCACTACAAGGATTAACTTTCAACACTTCACGGATGAATGTTTCGAACGTTGATGCTAGATGCGTTGAATCTAGATAATTGGAGTTAAAGCTTTGAATAGTGGATCTAGTTTAAAAGCTTATGTTTATCTCTCTATATATAGAAAGCTGGATATTCAAGAATGCAAAAGTTGTTCTCTAAGCTTCAAGGTTGCTCTTTTATAACTTACCAACATGGTTCTTTAAAAAGATTTGAAAATCTTCAACGCTGGCGCTCATAGTAGATAAGCAGTTGTGCCTAAAAGCCTATCATCTATCCCTTAAAATCCGTTGCAAAGTTCTTTTTGCATGCAAGTTTTTTTTTTTTTTTTTTTTTTTTGGGTAGGTAAATGTGTTTTACTTTTTAACTTTTTTTGTCATGTTATCGGGATGTTTTAGACTGTACCGTTCTTGATATTTAAGACCAACAACTCTTTTTTCAGTAAATTTGAGGTTTTTATCGGTAGACATTTTCCAAGGTTCATGTATTTTTCTACATATGTTGTAGCTGACTTTGAGGTCTATTGTTCCATTCTCATGTAAATTTGAGGTTTTTATCAGTAGACATTCTCCAAGGTTCATGTATTTTTCTACATATGTTGTAGCTGACTTTGAGGTCTATTGTTCCATTCTAAATATGTTGTAGCTGGTTTTGAGGTCTACATATGTTGTAGTTGACTTTGAGGTCTATTGTTCCATTCTAAATATGTTGTAGCTGGTTTTGAGGTCTACATATGTTGTAGTTGACTGTAGCTGGTTTTGAGGTCTATTGTGACTTGGAGTATAGGAGGAGAGTGGAATGGAGATTTTTGAACCACTAAAAATACTTTTTAATAGCTTCTCTATTGTTCTTGACTTGGAGTATAGGAGGAGAAGGGAATGGAGATTTTTGAACCACTAAAAGTACTTTTTAATAGCTCCCAACGAGGATCAAACTCGCAACCTTTTACTTACGAAGCAAGCACACTACCACTATGCTATGGAAGCAATTACCAATATACCTTATTTGTCTCTGATCCTCTAATACTTCACTCCACTAGTCATCAAACCTTTTCTTTCAATCTCGACTTATAACCTCTTATAATGTTTTAACTCTTTTGTTTTATAACATATTCTACTTCGTATAGTCTTTATAAAAACATCTTTTTTTGTTTATTTAACTCTTTTGCTTAGAATCTCTTAATGCTTTGTAAAGTCTTCTATTAAAATATCCATTTTGTTTACTTTTATGTTTGATCATATCTTTTGTTGACTTAACTCTTATGAGTATTTGAATCTTCTCTTAAAATTAAGTCTCTTATGTTTAATTTGTTATGCATGATCTTATCCTTAAACCTTTTTATGAAATAATTAAAATTAAACATTTTCTATCAAATAAACTCTTCAAGAGAAAATCTCTTTCAAGAGTAAACTTTTGATTAAAAACCTCTTTTAAAAGTGAACATCTTCATATAAAAAAATCTTCTCCTAGAGTCAACCTTTTTTATAGCAGGAACATTTTCCCATTGTTGTCACAAGTTTGACTTTTCTGCTAAGATGAATCTTCTTATTTCTTTTTGTGCAAGATTTTTTGTATAAGCTATATGTTTGTGCTAGCACTTCTTCCATTTGGTTAAACTTTCAGCCAAAACATCTCTTCCGGGCGAGTTAACTCTCGCTTTTATGTGTCTTCGGATTGATTGGTTTAGTATGTGAAATTTGTTTTGATTTTAATCTAGTTTGGCCTTTACTGTCTTTCTAAAAACGAAAATTACATTTAAATTTGGAGAATCTAATTTCCAAATACATTAACTTAGCATAATATCAATTAACATTGTGACAATTATTTTTACCATGTTTCGAAGCTGTTTAAACTTTTATTTGCTCCCATTCATTGATATTTCTGTATCCATGACTGTTTACACAAGTTGTAATTCTTCTATATAGGGATGCCCAGAAAGAATTGAGAATCAATCGCAATCGTCCATGTGTTCAGATTTAACGGATCAAATGTATTTTTTTTTTAAAAGACGTGGTGACATTTTCATAAATAATTCAAATTTGGGTACAAATAACATGTGTTAAAATTACTTAAAAGTGCAAGTAACTAGTGCAAGTGTGTAAGTAAAAAGTGCAAGTAAAATCACTTAAAAGTGAACAATTTTCACTTAATAGTACAAGTAATTTACCTTTTTTTTTAACATTGGTGCACCTAATGATAACGTCTTTCACATTGGTGCACTCACTGATAACGTTTGGTGCAACTAAATAATGTTAGGTGCAACTAAATAATGTTAGGTGCACTTAATATTGATGCTCATTGTACATTATTTGTTGCACTTTTATTAAAATTTACTTGCACTTAGATTCACTATATGAAACTACAATGTAATAGAGCTAGTAGCATTCAAAAAAAAAAAAAAAAAAAAAAAAAGATTCACTATATGAAACTGTTATTTGCACTTTTAACACAATTTACTTGAACTTCAAAGTTCAAATATTTAGGAAAATGTCATTGTTTTTTTTTTTTTTAAATAGTGTTTCTGATCCGTTAGATCTGGACACGTGAATGATTGCGATTGGTTCTCAGTTCTCTCCTGGGCATGTGGTTCTCAACTGATTCGTCTTTTATATATATATATATATATATATATATATATATATATATATATATATATATATATATATATATATATATAATGTATGTACATCCATTCTTGAGATTGTGTGAGAGAGTCTCAGACCAGAAAGTAATCTGGAAGAGATCTGAGAAGAGTTAGATAAGTACTCTAAGAGAGGTTTGAGATGAAAGATTTTACACTGATAAAAGTTTGAGAGATGAAAAGTTTATTTCATCACTGTCATATTTTCATGTGTAATCTGCAGTAAACACTTTGAGATAGAATATATCTTTAGATAAAGTTCTCGTTTAGACAACTTAACAAGTGAAATTCTTAGCAGAGCAACCCGAGATTTCTATATATATATATATATATATATATATATATATATATATATATATATATATATATATTCTTGTATCTCATAGGTCTCGGGGGTATCCATATTGCTTGTAAAGGGAGATTAAAGGCTTGAAAATGAATACACATCTGAAGATGTCAAATACTCAAATATAATGATCTAATTTTTATTCCCTTATTTTTCTGTATTTTTGTTGTATCTCACAATATTACAGAATGCAAGTACATACAACCATATGTTTTACAACAATAGTTTCTTCTTCTTCCTACAACAATAGTTTCTTGATTTGATATCTCCTAGTTTTATTATTATTATTATTATTATTATTATTATTATTATTATTATTATTATTATTATTATTATTATTATTATTATTATTATTATTATTAATGTTGGGCTCCATTTGGATTAGGGATGACAATTCTACTCATACCGACCAAGCGTAGAGGCAGCCTCTGTCCTGGTGTCGGTGTCTGACGTGTTCAACGTAAGAGTCGTATGAAAACCGCTGGGGAGCTGGAGCGAGGAGCTAAGCCGCCGACCTCACGGAAAACATTTTGTTGCCGGTTAGCGGTCTTGATGAGACCGTTCCCGCTCGGCTGGCACGAGTGTTGCCTGAACCGTTTCCCGTATCCCCTTCCCTACGGATTTTAAAATACCCGCATAATTTGAGTAATGGGTGCGGATATGGGGAGAATTTTGTATACCCGCGCGGGTATGGGGGCGGGTGCGGGGAGAGGTATCCCCGCCCCGCACCCTCACTTATATATATTGTTATTAGTAATTATTTATTATATAAGTTTATTATATTTTATAATTAAAAATGCATAATGAATTAAACTTCTTAATTTTTTTTAATGAAAATTGAATATGAACAACACAAATAACATAATGAGTAAACACTTAATACAATTTATACTACCAACACAATTTTAGTTCCAATTAAGGATTAACTCGATTCTCTCTTATTAAATTTTAGAGTTATGTTCAAACTTATAAAAAATCCATGTGATAATTAGAATTGTAGTATAAATTTTTTTATTAAATTTAAGTGTAATATTAATAATTAGAGTTGTGGGTTGGATATTACCCGCACTCGCAAAATCCCCACTGGAGCGGATATAGAGTAGGAATTTTATTATCCACGCAAGTACGGGTGCGAATGCAGAGAGTGGATTAAGAATGCGAGTGTGGGTGCGAGTGCAGGGGATATATCCCCGCACCCACCCCGCCCCATTGTCACCCCTAATTTGGATCGGTGGAAATTAGGAGAAAAGAAAAGGGAAAATGGCACTTTTTCCCCCTATGTTGTTTACTTATACCACATTTCCCCCCTGTGTTATTTATGTAGCCACTTTATTCCCCTCAATTGTTTCTAAAGTGACTATTTCTCCCCATCTCCGTTAACTAAGTGTTTGGACTGTTAAAAGTGATGGTAAAAATGATATTTCACTTTTTCTTTATTCTTTATTCTTTATTCTTTTTTTTTTTTTTGTGATAAAGATGGAGGGCTACGTTCACCGGTATTTCACTCATTTTCCTTAGTTTCTCCAACAAAACATTACTCCACATACACTGCCTAACCCTAACTCTCTATAATCTAGGAAAGAACACCCCATCTTGAAGCAATCGGAAAAAATTAACGCAACCATGAGTAGCAGGAGGGTGCTTGGATTGGATAAAACTCTAAATTGTAAATTTTTCTTGAAACCTTGTATCTTTATAGCATTTGTATTTGATTATATTATTATAAGAAATTAAAGATTGAATTATCTTCATACCTGTTGCTGTAACCGGCGAGGCGGGCACCCATCTTGCATTTGGCCCGGTACGAGTATTGATCATTCCTCATATCCCCTTAATTAAAACATGCCTGAAGGATCATTGTCTGCTATATCATTATTTTCCTATTAATCCTTACTCTGATATATGTGCTATCATTTGTTTATTTAGTTTAATAGTTGTTTGTTTATGTTTTCATAGATTTGTGCTATCTTTTGCTTATTTGTTTATTTAATTTAATATTGTTTGTTTATGTTTCCTGGAATTTGTGCTATTCCTTTTGCTTATTTGTTTATTTAATTTAATAATTATTTGCTTATGTTTCCAGAATTCCAGGGATCTGTGGACGGATGAAAGAATGGATTATGGAGTACATTTTAATTAATGCAATATGAATTTCTAAGAGAAGGAAGTGAAATACCAGTTAATCCCTCCATTTTTATTAAAAAGAAAAAATGAAATACCATTTTTACCCTTACATTTAACAGTCTAAACATTTAGTTAACGGAGAGGGGGAGAAATAGCCACTTTAGAAATAATTGAGGGGGATAAAGTGACTACATAAATAACATAGGGGGAAAATGTGCTATAAGCAAACAACATAGGGGGAAAAAGTGCCATTTGAAAATGTTATTTACATGAGAGGAAAGAAAACGACAAGATATGAAAGATACTAAGAATTTTGTATGGAAACTCATATTTTTAGAGACAATTTAAATCAAACGAAAATAGATCACATTTTGTAAGTAACCTTAATTTTAGGGACAACCTAAATCAAACCTACTCAAAAAGTAAAGTAATATGCTAAAGGTGGATTTTCGAGGACACAAAATCATATTTATTCGCGCTGTTTTTTTTCAATAAAAAAAAATTATTTCCCCTTTAGACTACGTAATTGAATTTAGATAGGCAAAACTTTTTGGTGTCTCCATCTGTCTACCTATCGTATCCATATCTATCGCTATCCGGAATACGTACAAAACACTAATATATGATAATAAAATTAATTTTATATCTTCTCGATCGAGCTTGTCGTGCAAGGCCTTCGTAGTAAAATTTACATTTTTTATATCATTTGTAGACTATTATACAAGAGTAGAGTTTATATATTATCCATCTTAAAGTAATGACTATAAATTTTTTACGTCACAAAGAATAAAATATTAATTTTATATCTCTTCATATAAGAATCAAATCTTATATTTTGTAAAAGAAAAATATTAAAATTTTTATTAGTAAATATCATTTTATTTATAAATCGATCAATTAGAGCATGTCACGTAATAAAAATAAAATATAAAATATAAAATAAAAAGACATACAATATCAATCTTTTATATATAACTAGCTAGCTCAGAATTTCATATTTACATATTTACATGTTTTCCTTGGGGAAAATACTCCAACTCCCTCAATATGGTTGCATGAAACATATAATTATTTATAATTTAAATTTTACTATATATATACTTTTTACGTATAATATTTGGTATCTCTATCATTGTGAGAGTAATCCAAATTTAATAAGTGTGATTCTTATTCTGGGAAGAATTAACTCATAATTTTTTAACATAGTACAAACAAACAATAATATAATTAATACTTTGACCTTGCAGTTGTATTAGTAGCTCACTTATCATCAACTATTTCAACCTGTTATGTTATACGGAGTACTATTTAGTATAATGTTTGTAAATAAAATTATATATTTAAAACTATATTAAAATTCTATTAAATAACAAAAGTTGAATATAAACATTATAAAAGAATTGTTAAAGAACAAAATAAGAAATAATTCAACCAATAAATAGTATATGTAACAAACAAAAGAGGAAATAGAGACTATTATTTTGTATTGTTTTTTGCATGTATAGTAAATAACACAAATAAAATAAGACAAAAACGTATATTTCTTTCATCTTATTTTATTTATCAAATGCAATTAATAAAGATTGATTCAAATTGTTTATAATTTAATTATTTAATATACATTACTTTAGTATTGCCGAATAAACTCTATTTAGTTAAAATTAAAGAAATAAATTACTTAATACTTTTGTATATAAAGCTCAATTAAAATTAAAAAAAAATGTATGTAGGAGATTTTTTTTTTCACTCTGAAATACGGAATAATAAAATAATTTAACAAACACAAATGATGAACCTAGAGTCTAGAGAGATAAAACAAAGGCAACTTGCATTGCTCTTTCTAGCTACTCCGTATTACATATATATATATATATATATATATATATATATATATATATATATATATATATTACATAAAAGCCATCCAACGTAACCAAACAAGGCAAAAATCATGAAACCTCTTTCGGGATGTTTGGTTCAGATTATATAGGATAATCAAGGTCTTGATTCAAGTTATATCATTTTTACCAGAAATGTAATATAATCTCTAGATAAGATTTTTAGCTATTGCAAGAGAATATAAGATACCATCCCATTTCTTAGATATTCTCACATTTCCTTATTTTATTGTTAATTTTGTCATTTTAATCCATTTTCTTAATTAATTATTATTCAAACTTTTAGTTAATTAATTTTAAACCATTACTTATATATTTTACCAATTGTCTTATTTATTTTAATTTTAATTTTATTAATATACATAAAAATAGATTAACAAATCATCATAACATTAAAAATAAATAAATAAATAACTCTCTCAATCAAACATATTCAGATTTATATTACATACTCAACAAAAAAATCTAACATTCTTAATAATAATATAATATTCGTGAAGTAATATAACATTCGGTGAACCAATCACCGCTCAAGATTTTCTATGATTGATCAAACACTCTCTTTAAGCTATGAAAGGTAGAAGTACTTGAGCCTTGACCCCCTCTCTCTCTCAATCTCGATCTCCATACCTTAACTTGTGTATTTTTTTCATCTTCCCCAAACAAACCTTAATCATGAACTCCACTCTTCTTCACTAGTGTGTTTCTTTTCTTTCTTAGCTAAAACTAAGAACACAGTAAGAATTGAAAGAGGTGCAAAAAGGACAGATTAAAAAACGTTTGATATGATGGATTCAGCAAACGTTGTTCCCTTCATCGGCACAAACTCAACGATGATGATGATGATTCCCTCCTCCGCCACGTCATCTCCGGCTACGGCCCCGCCGCCGCCGGCAACCTTAAGCCGATACGAGAACCAGAAGCGGCGGGACTGGAACACGTTCGGGCAGTACCTCCGCAACCACCGGCCGCCGCTCTCACTCTCGCGCTGCAGTGGAGCCCACGTCCTAGAATTCCTCCGCTACCTCGACCAGTTCGGAAAGACTAAGGTTCACACCATCCTGTGCCCCTTCTTTGGCCACCCGAACCCGCCGGCTCCCTGCCCCTGCCCGCTCCGGCAAGCCTGGGGCAGCCTGGACGCCCTCATCGGCCGCCTCCGCGCCGCGTACGAGGAAAATGGAGGGAAGCCGGAAGCCAACCCCTTCGGCTCCCGAGCCGTTCGCCTTTACCTCCGCGAAGTCCGGGACACCCAGTCCAAGGCTCGGGGAATAAGCTACGAGAAGAAGAAGCGGAAGAAGCCACCGCCGCCGCCACCTCAGCAGCCGTCGCCGCCGCAAACACCACCAGATCTAAGGTAGAATTTATTGTTATCACAATAAGCTGTGCGATTATATTTGAACTTGTCTCTTTAGTAGTAGCAGTTGTAATAGTTAATGTGACATTTTCAAATTCTGTATTCCAAATTATCATATCATTTTGGCTACAAACCCTACCTAGTAGATTTGCAGATCAGCTTTCATGTCTTTTTGCTGATTTTTTTTTTTTTTGTAATATATATATATATATATATATATATATATATATATATATATATATATATATATATATTTTAATAAATAATGTTTAATTAATTTGGTGATGAATAATGAAAAAGTGTGGGTGACTTTGTATAGATCACCTTCTGCCTTGTCTACCACTATACTATACTATACACTGATCAAATCTATCTTTTGTTACAGTACTACATGCTTCAATTCTGTGTAACTGTGTATATATGTGTGTGTATAATTTTATATATATAGAGAACCTCTGAGATAGTAAGATTTCACCCTCTCCTTAGTTCTTAGACCTAAGTTTTTGTAATGATTTTTATAATTTAATTTTGTGTAATATTAAATTGATTATTAGTTAATAAAATATGTTAATTATTTTTTTGAATACTACTATTTAAAAGTATGTAATATTAAAAGTTTATTTCATTTAAATTTTGTTTCATTTGATCGTATTTTGATGATTTTTGAATATATAAATTTTATATATTAAGTCTAACTAAATATTAGAGAAACTTTTTTTAAAAAATATTAGAGAAACTTGAATTATATATACATTAAGGAAAAAATATAAATAGGCTATTTAACTATTTGGGAATAATAATTAACTAAGTCACAGACCTTGAATAAGTTCCAATCAGAACAAATTTGTTGTTAACCTGCTAAAAATGTTAATTACTATCTCCAAATAATTTAATGATCTATTTGTACCTGATCTGTATACATTATTACAAGGTCTTAGTATCTGAATTTATTATTTAAAATGAAAGGCAATAGTTTAAAAATTTATTAGACTTAAATCTCTCTCTCCTCCTCTTCTTTTCTACCACATAGAATTACATTTCCTCAAAAACTAGGACAAAATTTCTATTGGATGCTCCACATGAATTGATATATCATTATTTGACAAAGAGAGAATGCATTTTTTTTTAAAAAAAGAAATTATTGAAATATTAAATTATTAGAAGTCTTTAAAGTCTTTATCTCGTCAAACATTACATCAACATGTCACCTCAATCTTAAATTTTTCCCAAATAGGGGAGGGCAATAAATTAGTCCCAGTAGTGGCAGGCTCTCTAGTTGTAGACTGGAGTGAATTAAGTCAATTAACTCGTTTTAAAGTTCATTCGGTTTAACCCATATTTGGGAAACATGACAAACCTTTTCGCCAACCATCGACTATACTATATTTACCATTAATTTTGTGCTAGATTCTATCTGAAGTGTGTACAACTTTTAAACACAAATATAATATTTTTTAAATTCATAAAAAGTATTATATTAAAACTTTTACTAAAAAGCATTATACTCCTGATATGATAGAGACGAAAATTTCATACAAATTTGCTTTATATTCAGTTAGTCTTGTGTAAGACTGTTTTACATGAACCATTTAACACTATAAAAAAAAACAATTTATGAACTCTAAAAAAAAACATTACATTTTCATTAAAATGTATTACATATCTCAAATGAGAAAGTCTCACATAAATTATTATGTTACATTCAATTCAATTAATCTTGTATGAAACTGTCTCACATAAAACTATCTTTTTGTGATCTTTTATTGACTAGTGTCATAAGACGTTCTTCATCCAAAATGCACATTCAAATAATAATTATGGAAGTTTAATTGTTGCTATGGCTTGCTAACTTTAATTTGGTGAAGGTATTAACATTGACATATGGTGAACTTATAGTTAGGTATATTGTCGACTCTTGAGAAGTTTGGAGAACTCGAGCTTCCACATGGTGTGAAGAGTTGAAACATATATGAACGCATAATTAAGGAGTAACTTCACCCAAGATAGTTAACGATACAAATTTGTAATCACGATATCACGAGTTCATATCAATCTTAGCTTTCTTGGTTTGAGTCAATTAGTTATAAGCAAGCTAAACTAGTTTATCTCATTGTGATCTTTAACGACTAAAATCACAAGACGCACACTATTGGGTAGTGGTTGTGGGTTTCTCTCGTCATCTTAAAAAGAATGCATTGTTAAATAGCTTATATATAGTGATAGACAGTGGCGGAGCCACCGTTGAGCTCCAGGAGGCCTTGGCCACCCCCCTCCCCCCCAAAAAAAAAAAAAAATTATGCTTTTTTATTAGTATAGTGCAACAGCCAGGGGCTTGGCCTCCCAAAAGACAATAAAAAAATTATTAGTATATAATAGTTATTTTGTGCGTTATGCTATGAGCACGTGTCAAGGTGAACACGACTCCATATCCATAATTTATATATTGTAGATTCATAATTTATATATTGTAGATTCATAATTTTTATACTGTAGATTCATAAAATTTATACTTTAGATTCGTAATTTCTAAACCGTAGATTCATAATTTAAATACAGTATATTCATAATTTCTATACTGCACATTCATAATATCTGTACTGTAGATTCATAATTTTCGTACTGTAAATTCATAATTTCTAAACTGTATAGTTATCAAATTATGAACATATAGTTCTCTGATTTGTGAAAACAGAGTTCAACAATTGAAATCTAAAGTATAAATTTTATGAATCTACAATATAAAAATTATGAATATGGAACCGTGCCCACCTTGCAAGGTGGGCACGTGCTCACAACATAATTTAGAGTATGCTTTATATTCAAACCATCCAAACCAAACAAGCAGACAACAGATACACATGTAATTTATCTTCAATTTTCAAGCTGAAGTCTATAGGTAATTTTTCATTTCTTTTTTATTCTTTAAATCTTTGAATTTTTTAAATGAATTATTCTTTATTGGAGATTGATTCATTGATCCTCGCCACAACAAAAAGTATAGATATTGTAATTAAATGGTAGTTAAATCCTCTCTTTCGTTTCCTTAGTTGATGATGGCAACCACGGTGAACTCGAGCTACGAGCAGTGACGGCTGAATCCTCTCTTTTGTGATTGGCCCCCCGCACCAATAAATCCTGACTCTGTGCCCTGGTGATAGAATTCTTAAAAAAACTGTGTGAAGGTTGAAGGGAAAGGGAAGAAATTGAACGCACAAGGAAGTGTAGTGGGCAAATTATTTTGTAGACCCGGGTCCATCTTACAAAGTAGATTCGGGTTCAAAAATACACAACTCACATATTAAATGTTCACAATTTACATAATAAACATTATTCAGTATGTGAATTGTGAACGTTCAGTATGTAAATTGTGTATTTTAAATTCAAGGTGGACCTGAATTCATGGTTTAACGGTTGATTGTAGTGGGGGCCATTATTCCTATTGACCTATACTACCTCTAATCCTCTATCATTGAGTTAAAAATATCAGTACATTATGAAAAAAACTAGTATCATTATTAAACAAATGTAATCATCGTACTCCATCAAATCATGGGGCTATATATACTCCTTTGAACATTTATGTTCATTTTAATTAATTGATTGTGTGTGTGTTTTTTTTTGTTAAATAATTTTATTGTGAGGTGAACACCTAAAATGAATATGGTGGTTTTTCAAAATGAAGACGACATATTTTTTTAGACTCTTTTGTGAGATTGTTTCATAAATCTTTATCTATGAGACATGTTGGGTATGTATGAAAATATAATATTTATAATGAAAATATAATACTAATCAGAGATAAATTAATTGTTACTTATAAAGGAAATGTAATATTTTTAAAGAAAAATGTAATACTTTTAAATTCAAATGTAATATTTAGAGATTGGAGAATTACTTATTAGAAAAAGTAATATATATTAATTAAATATAAATTATTTGATTATTATTTATGAAAAAGATATAATATTTTTAAATTAAAATATAACATTAGAGATTGAAAAATTACTTACAAATAAAAAATATAATACTTATAAAAAATATAATATTTATAAAAAATTTGATCATTTTATAAATAAAAATTCGTGAAAGCTCTCAATTTACTCTTTTTTTTTTTTTTTTTTTTTTTGCAATTCGGTCTGTCGTCTCTGTCGTATAGCTAGTTCTGACTCTCAAACAAGGTTATAATTTCAAGGAGACCACTCATGTTTTATCTTTTTTTATTTTATTTTATTTTTTATTTTGTTTATTTATTTTTATACATAAGTGCATATGAAAAGTTGAATATATTGCGCAAATGTGACGTATATATAGCCCCTATATATAGTGCTCTATCAATTCATTTTGTCTATAGTGGATAGCTTGATATGTTGTTTACCAGATAGCCTTTAGCATGGCGCCATGGTTTCTGTGGATATGTCTTGTTATATTATTGGATATTTTCTTCCAATAATTTAATAAAATTTTTGGTGAGGAATTGGGGACACTCATCAATCCATAATAAGGAAAGAAAAATGAGAGAAAAGATTTTTTTTAAAAAAATATAGAAAACAAAATATAGGGTAGAAGTGTTGATAGGTTTATTGGACGGAAAATGTTAGAAGAAGCAAAATTTTAGGGTTCATTTACTTTATTTCTATGTTTTTTCATTTATAGTTTTTTAATTTTCTTTCTCCATTCGAGGGACCTCAGGGTTATGTTGAGCATAGTACTGTTCATCCGCGTATTTGCCAATTCTTCAAATAAAGAACTCTGATTTTGTTTTCTCTAAGATCATACAAAATGAAAAAATGGAGATGGAAAGCTAAGTTTAAGAATTAATTTTAGTAAACAATTTTTTTTTTTTCATTCTTTCACTTTTCCAATTTTCTGTTTGAGTTAATACCATCTGAGGTCCTCCGAATATAGTGGTTTTGCCACATTTAGTCCTAAACTTTCAAATTGACCATCTGTGGTCCTTCGACTTTCGAATTTAACCATTCGTGGTCCAAGTTAACCACATATGGTCCTTCAAGTTTTGAAATTTAACCAGCCCTGGTCCTCTTGAAAGGACCATGGTTGGTTAAAATTTAATAGTTGAAAGACCATGGGTGGTTAACTTGGACCACAAATGGTTAAATTTGAAAGTCAAAGGACCACAGATGGTCACTTTGAAAGTTTAGGACTAAACGTGGCAAAACCACTATACTCGGAGGACCTCAGATGGTATTAACTCTTTTCTGTTTTCCCATAAAATCCTCCATTTTTTCATTTTGATAAACATCCCCTTGTACTCCATTAACTCTACTCCTTGGGTGGCATAATTTCAACCAATACTTTCTGATGGAATATATCGGTATGGGCCTGGGCCTGGCCCATATGCCTAGGGGGGGTGCCCAAGAGTAGAAGGGTGGGCTTGCAGGTCAGCCTGCATGCGTAAGGGGTGGCCACATGCGGTCTACACGCAGAAGGTGGCTGCAGGTAACCCGCGTGCACGGAGGATAGCCGCACGCAAGGCGGGGTGGCAGCTACGGCATGCATGGACGTGCGAGGTGGCGGCTGCGCGTACGGGTGGCGGTTGCATGCGAACGAGGTGGTAGCTGCGCGTATGGATGACGGTTGCATGCGTGCAAGGTGGTGGCTGCGCGTATGGATGACGGTTGCATGCGTACAAGGTGGCGGTTGCATGCTCGTTGTTGGAGACTACGTACATGCATGCATGTGGGTGGAATGGCGGCTAGTGCATGCATGCTGCACACGGAAGGGCAGCTGACGAAGGGCGGTGCGTATAGGAGCAGGGATCCCGGGAGAGTGCGCGACAAAATCGGTCCTGTTCGAGAAGTTGGGGGTACGTGCGGAGAGGGGAGGACACATGTATGGTGGGAGCTGGAGGCCTGTAGATGTCGTACACGTGGGTGGTATGCGGAAGTCCTGAGAAGGTATAAAAGGGGCGGGGGGGGGGGGGGGGGCTGAGGTCAGTTTAGGACAGGGCAAGAAACACAAAAGACCTGGTAGCCTGGCGATCTGAGTCTTCTCTCTCTCTCCTAATTGGTCCAAGATCGATTCTAAGATTATGCATGTAATTCAGGTTTCTGTCTATCCGTTTATTTCTCTTTTCTCCGAATAACTTTCCTGTATTATTGTTTCTGGGCCTGCAACATTGGGCTTGTGCGCGTTTATGTGGGCCTCGCGCTCCACTAACAATAATAGCTCTTTTATTCCGTTCTGTATTTCCTATACCCGGTTTATGGTGGACCCGTTTTCATTAAAACCATCACTTTCAAATTATGAGTCTCACCCCCTTTTATTTTTCTTGTGAAGATACCTAAGGGAGTATAATATTTCAGAGTAAAAGTGAGAGTATGTGTAGAAAAACTCTTATTGGACCAAACACCTCATGTAACTTAGTAATCATAAGTGTTTTAAACGAGGAGTACAAAAATAAAATAAAAGGTCATTAAATTGTAGGTGCCTTTTTTGATCTATATAATAATAATAATAATAATAATAATAATAATAATAATAAAATGTTAGCTAAGAGTTGAAGCCCAAGATACGAGCCTTAGACCAATAATAGGGCTATTACATGACTTAAATAATATCGGAGTAAGTGTTATACCATGGATTAGAATTCACTTGTATTGTGAACCTTCACTAGTACAGAAATACACATTCGCTACCCTTGTAAATGACTATCCGCTACCCTTGTACAAGAGTAGCGGATGTTAGGGTCGCAGAAAGTCCTGGGCTTTCCGCTACCCTTTTAAAGGGTAGCGGAAAGTTGAGTATCCACTACCCTTCTAACTGTAGAAGGGTAGGGCATATTATTATTATTCTTTTTTTTTTTTCGTAATCTTCCACTACCCTTTCTGGGAAGAAAGGGCTAGGATGGTTTACTTTTTTACAAAAAAAAAAAATTATTTATTATTTTTAAAATTCCCAATTATTTTAAAAATCTTGTACACCGAATTCATAAACTACATATCAATACAATATTATGAACACAATATTATCAATGCACTTTCAATATAATACTATCAATACAATATTTTATATCAATCAATCTCAATACTTTCATCACAATAATAAATTATAAACACAAGATAATATTTAATCTAAAATAAAAGTTAAAAATGGACTCCACAAGACATTTTGATCACAACTGTGATGTCTGCTACTACCTGAAGTGTTCGCATATTATGCGAGCTTAAGGTAGCCTTAAAGGCACTTGAAACAACATGTAAGGTTTTGATCATTTCAGGTTTCTTCTTCACATACATCCTTTTCAAGAAGTTAGCAGCAAAGCTCATGGCATATCTGCAGCAAAAGAACAGTGTTGATAAGCAATTTTCACTTAGAAGAGCAAGAAAAAGTCATAACAAAAACAGTGGTATGGCGAGGGCTTAGTTAGTTATTAACAACATCGGTTAACCAAGTATAGAATCAAAATTGTGACATAAAACGTGACACAAGTAGAAAGGAAAGGGCAATGAGGAGAAATGCAGACACAACTACTTACGTCTTTGCAAGAAGAGGGAGTAGTTGTCTTTGATGGCTGGGGTAATCAAGCAATAAAACTTCAGGTCCATTTGGTGTGACTGAAAATGCTCCCATTGTCAATGAGTATCTTATTGCAATTGCTATGCCCACCTGATGAATATCCAAGTCTTATTACATAACAGTTCTAATTTTATACTTATAAATCTTTCAGAAATACTAAATCAGAGAAGAGTAATGTGTTTTACTTTTGCTGAGTAAGTTACAATGGATGGTATGCTTACATGCCCGGTCCAGTTGGTTCAATTCTCGCGGGAATATATAATGCATTCGATTCAATGGTGTCGGAACAATAATGCATTCAATTCAATATAATAAAAATGAAAAATGCAGATTGATGGTCAATAATTACCTCAGAAATTCGAAGAGCTGTTTGAACAACATAATTGGCATGTGGGTCCTGAAGCAGCTGCTCAAAGTGAGTTGCAGAGACCAGTTCATGGATTATCTTTGACTGGACCTTATAGTCGCATACGATAAGGCATTTTTAAACGACATGGTTGCTGAACTTCTGTGTTAAGAGATGCACAAAGTTACCCTCAAAGTGAGATATTAACTTGGATATCACAGATGGTATCTTAAGCTCCAATATGAACTGAACAACATAATTTCTGCACAGAAACAGATAAACAAAAAGTCTTAGTTAAGCCAGAAATGATGAACTAACAAATTAAAATATAATCCTCTGTCACAGTGATGAACATGGGTGCATCTATAAGACTAACAATGAAAAAAAAAAAAAAAAAAGAAGCTTTGATGGCTCAACTCTCAGAAGGTGGGTGGATCTCATCAGATGAATAATCTTATATATCAAGGACAAAGGTTGTATGAAAATGAATCTGTGAAATTGAAGTGTTCAGACGTATCATGCATTAAGGAGAGCCAAAATAGTTGTAAAAAATATAGAATAAAAGGTGAGAGGCACGATATTCTAAACAAGCCCTTGATGGCAAATACATAGAAATTTAGAACTCAGCCCTCCATAGCATTTAAGATGTATACTACTGGTATAAAGAATCTTATATGTTATGCAAAAAAAAGGTTTGTCTTGAGTCTTTTCCATTGTGATTTATTACCCAAATACATCCTGAGCTAGAAGAAGTCCATTGGCAGAAATTTCTGCAACCAGGTTTTCCCGATATTCTCTAGTAGCATGGGCGATGCATCTTTGAATAACACAACACCCATGTTGATGTGTTGCAATATCAACGCAGTACTTTGCAGCTGCAACAAATATGAACTGCCAAATTTGGAATGAATTAGACAAGACAAACTAGGAACTAATTTTGTTATTCTCGAAGGAATAATTCTGATCATATAATAAGCCATCAATAATTATGAACTGTCATCTTCTAGGACATTTTTATGAAAATATTCAATTCTTTTCTTATTATAAAATTATAACTATGTTCAAAAAGACTAAGGGATACAGTAAACTATTTTATTTAGGCAATAAATGATGCAATCTGCAGCACAGAACTAAAGCATACCTTACTGTCTCCATTGGTAAGATACTGTAAGCATCTCTGGATAACATGATTACCATTAATATTATGTATATCAGAATCAATTAGTACAGGTATAAAAATATGGTCTCGCAAGAAACCATCCATGATCTTATCATAAAAGCTAAGAGCATTGTTATTCTGTGAAGCATTGAGAAATCTATAATATGAGATACGGCATGTGTTAGAGAAGAATAAGGCATTGATCAGAAAGTTTTATTCTACAAGCAAGGACTACACATAATTTGCAAAAAATATATTATAAAAAGTGGCTACAAAGTTGAAAATGAGAAAAATTAATATGCTAACTATTAAAGTTCTCTTATAATAAAACAGTTGAAATCGTGTAATAAGATAGATAAGAATACATAGGAGAGTAATGTTTTGGAAAAGGGAAAGAATCCATTCAAAAACCGGGTAAAGAGTAAGAGGAATAAGGCACAAAAGTGTTAATTTTTAATTTTCAACTCTGGGTGAAAGCATTCATAAACCTGTAAGGATACAACTACATTTCTGGCAGCTAATTTTGCAAGGTAGCAGAGTTCCCGCATTCTTCATTGGAGTCATTTGACTGGTGATTGAGAACTCCCTCCTCAATCACTTCTGTTTCACTTGTGATAACTGAAACATACTGATGTAGCTGCAACGGACTCAACTCAATTTCTTGAACTTGAATCAGTAATCTTGCAATGATGCTCCAAAGTGCACTTCTTGCTTCTGCATCAGCAGAAGCAAAAGGGAATAGACTAAATAGACCATGTAACAACAAAAGGTCTGAAGATCTTTGTGTTACCAAAAATTATCCTAGGTGGAGCAACTGAAGTCTAAACATGGAAAACTGATGACAAATATCATTTCTTTTAGCAGTAAATCAACTCACCTTGAAATATTTCTAATGCTAGATCATCTGCATCAGTTAGAATATTTGCTAGCAAACAGCAGCAGTAACTCAAGAATCAGCAACTTGTAGGAGATACATCATTTATGGAAAACTGCATCATCTGAGTTTTAAAATGTTTTGCAGCTTTCATATATCCTATTTTCTTATTCATTCCATCAACAGAGATATTTGCACACAATTTATTTACATAATCATGATGCTCATTTGTGTTGTAACAAGAAAATTTTGACAACAGATGAAATTATAGGACTAGTAGCAAAGTTTTGGGCCAAATCACGTGTTTAGAATGACAAGGACTAGTACAAGTTCAACATATGGTTGGCTTTTCCATTTTCAGTTTTTGTTATTTTCTTTAACTAATCTGTGGTAAGTTACATGCTATAACCTTGACTCACTAAGCAAAACTTTCAAAATCTACTGCATACCTCAACCTTTTCAGGAAGTTTGATTAGGTCAGTAATTTTAACAAAAAAAATAAAAAATTACCTGCACGTACAGTTCGGCGGACCAGCTGCTGGCGGTGGAAGTTGCAGAAGCAGCCGCGGCGGCGGCTGAGGAGAACTGTGGCGGTGGAGACGGTGGTGGCGGCGTCGTGGTTGGTTGATGAGAGAGGCGTTGGAGTCCTTATCTTGGTGGTGGCGGCGTTTGATCGAGGCTGAGGGAGTCGTGGTGAGAGAGGCGATGTCAGCGGCGTCGTGGGTGGCGGTGTCGACGGCGGAGTCGTGGTCTATGGTGAGGAGCGACGGTGGAGGTCTGTGATGAGGCGTTGAGGAGAGGTGAGATCTGAGAGCGAGTTGAGATCTGAGATCTGAGAGCGAGATCTGTTTTTTTTTTTTTTTTGATCCACGAGTTTTTATTTATTTATTTATTTAGGATTTTCAGATCTAATTTTCGCTGCCTTTTCTTTTAGAAAGGGTAGTAGAGAGTTTTATTAATTAAAAATTAATATAATATCCGCTACCCTTTCTACAAGCAAAGGTAGCGGACAATATATCCGTTTTTTTAAATAAAAAAACCGCTACCCTTTTTTCTAAAAGGGTAGTGGTTTCTTATCCATTTATTTACAATAATGCCACCGCCCTTTTTATTTTTAACAATACACTACCCTTGTTTAAAGAAGGGTAGTCTAAAGTCATAATTCTTTGCTCCATTTTGTACTAGTGCTTGGTTATGTACATGCAGTTAATATATTATGTATATTTAGTTAATAAATTATGTACTTATGGATGATAATTTTAATCTTCCTCGCAGATATGCATCTGAATCTACCCACATGGATCGGGTTTCTTTGGATGATAGTGAGTGATAGGTCGAAAGTGAGTTTAAAAAAATTAAATTCACGGTAGGTCGGGTTGGATTCGAGTTTTATATACAAATTCAGACTAGAACCCAACCCGACCCACCATGTGTGTGTGTGTGTGTGTGTGTGTGTGTGTGTATATATATATATATATATATATATATATATATATATATAATTAATAGTAAAATAAGTACTAATATGTAATTTAATTGAGTATAAAAGTTTCTAAAATTTTTGTTAACTTTTTACTTTTTTTAGTTTTAAACTAATAAGTTTATTTTAAAAAATTAACAATTTGGTTATTATATTTGAATATTTCTATTATTTTATGTGTTTAATATAACTAATGAAATTTATTATGTGAAGTAATTTAAATATTAGTTTAAAATTTTTAATAAGATAATAAGTGGTGGGTACTAAAGTGGGCACTTGCACCCGGTGGGGCGGGGTGCAGTGTGGGGTTTGAAAAAGTGCACCCAATGCGGGTTGGGGTGGGGGTTTGATCGAGAATAAAATATAATGTGAGTTAGGTGATGAATGTAGTCCTCCCCAACCCATTGTCATTCATATATGACTACAATTAATATATTATATATTTGCTGTTAATAAATTATGTACCTATTCCAACTAGTAAATTACCCATGCGATTCATGGATAATTTTTTTTATTATATATTTAGATAATAAAATGAAAGATAAATTATAAACAATTTATCTGATATGATTATAAGATTAATGCAAAAGTATCACCCTATTAATTGAATAATATACTCCGTATCACTATTTTAAAAATGACTTAGCCAATTATATTATTACAAAAATAAATATTCAAAAAAGGGAAATAATTTAAAAATGCATTAAGCTGTGAAAAAAAAAAAAAAAAATCAAACTCTATTTTAATGTTGTTTTAAATCACCTGATTGGCTGCAATTCTCTTTGAAATTTGAAAATGTAATAAGATTTAGGCAATTATATTTATTAATTTAAAATAATTGTAAAAAATTATGGTGGAAAGGAAAAAAAAAAACTTAGATTAGTCTTGATTATTGTTTTGTAATAGTTTAATTTACTTTTGATTTTCATTTATTAATTTCAAAGTAATGCATTCATAGCTGGTGTCTGGTGAATTTTCTTCTCTTCGTAAATAGTAAAAAAACAAAAATGAAAAATTATATATTGGAATTTAAGATTAGTTGTAAAATAAAAATGGAAAAAAGTGAGAAAAACAAAATCAATAATAAATAATTTGCCTTTATATATTTATCAAACAATTTATTGACCATGCTACTAAGAAGAAATCCTTTAGCAGTGGTATTATCTTTTTCAAATTTCTAGATATCTTCTTTTACAACAAGTTTTGGTTTTTCAACGTTAGGAGAAAGAGATCATTACAATTTCTAAAGGACAATAACATAAGTAGTATGAGCTGGTTCAATAGTCAACATAGGAGATCTAGGAATAGTACATAATGAATGTTTGCTTGTTGAAGGGCAATGAATATTTTCTGAGATCATTATTATTTGTCATTTGTGTAGTCAAGCATCCTAGGACTCATTTTGGATTTAACGAGGTTTAAAGAATTGAGATGGAATGCCATTTTTTAGAAATGAATAAGTAGTAAAAATTTAATGCCTCTAACTTGTAATAAAAAATTACTATCAGTGAGTCGACATCAGTGGCGGAGCCAGAAAGTTGGGGTTGGAGGCCAAATTTATAGAGAAAATTTATCATCTTAGTCGATACCAATCACACAATATTATTATATATATACCATATATGATTGTGTCAATTATAATTGATAATTATTTTTAATTATACTATGTGCAATAATATATGAAATATATAATTATATGAGTACGATCGTTAAGATTGTCAAACATTACTTTTGAATTTTTTACATAACACAAAAATTATACAATAGTAAAAAATAGGAAAAATTACACTTTTAATCACTAAGTTATATGGTAATTGAAGAATTCATAATTATTAGTCATGCTTACTTTTCGCCCCTAAAATATACTCCGTAATTGATGTTGCAAATTTTGTCCCTTTACGAACAAAACATTAGGAACGAAGTATAGCTTAGAAAGAAAGAGTGACCACAACCTGTTATTAAAAGGACGAAATTTGCAACGTCAATTATAGCTTAGGGACGAAAAGTGAACACGATCAACAATTATGGACGAATCCTACAATTATCCCATAACTTAGGGACGTAAAGTGTAACTTTCGAGTTCATTTAATATATACATAATGAATTATTTTAAAAAAATTAAGAGGTAAGCCAAAAATGTAATTTATCCATATTATAATAATATATACCTATATATTTACTAAAAATGGGGACTGGGGTGGGGGACAGGACCCCCTACCCCAAGGGGTGGCTCCGCCCCTGATCGACATACAAAAATATGTTATGGTTATAAAAAGTCATTGCCTTAGAAGCATTAACAACATCAAGACAAGTGCAGTCTATATCCAACGTTGTCCCCGAAGTTTTGCATAAAGATTTCTTCCTAGCTAGCCCATGCACTCAAAGCGAATGAATAAAATTTAAAAAGATTACGCTCAAAAACTAATTAGACAAAATTGTTATAAAAAAGAATGTAGTACGGTGTAATTTGTAATGTAATAAGAAGACAATAGTACTCAAATATGTCTTAGGCCATGTTTGGTAAAAAATGACCTATAGGCTAATTTTGGCTTATTTGACCACTATTAATTATTTGATTTAGTTAAAATATCAATATAAATGTTTGGTTAATTAGCTTTTTGCAACTTCAAAAGGCTAAAATTCAAAAAGCTACTCCAAACAACTTTTTCAATTAGCTTTTTGAGAAAAGAAATTATACCAAACAGCTATCAGCTAACAGCTAATTTACCAAACATTTTTCTACAATCAGCTAATGTTATCACCTATTTATACCCTCTACAATCAACTAACAACTAACAACTATCAGCTAATATCCATTTTACCAAACAGGGCCTTAGTAACTTTGGAGCACTTGGTTTAAATGGTTGCTAGAACTCTAACCAAGATCACTCATTTGTGAGAAATAATTAAGGACAACCAAAAGATTGGCCACTTGAAGCTGGTGAAGACTTCCAAATAATCAAGAAAAAAAAAACATTCCATTTGTATTATTTACTAATGGTTTTTAATGGATTGGAACCACCATAAAATCAGGTTGAAATACAAGTAAAATCAAGTTGAAATATTGACTACTAACAAACAAACAAAAGAGGTCGAGGCTCAACAATGGGTCAAGACATACCAACACTATTATAAGGACTTGTTAATTGCACAAGACTCACAAGATATGCCATTGAGTAATGCCTTGACACTTGGTGTAATTACTAGACATGGAGGGGAGATGCTTGAGTTTGACTCTCTAAAGGTGATGAAGATGTTGATGTTCAAAGGGAAAATGAGTAGGGATGGCAACGGGGCGGGGTGGAGGCGGGGAATAGGATCCCCGTCCCCGTCCTCGAAATGTCTCCCCATTTCCCGTCCTCGTCCCGCGGGGATTTTTCGGGGACGGGGACCCCGCCCCGTTTTTTATTTATGTCTATTAAAAAAATTAATATTATCAAAAATTCATATTGTGTCTTGAATCCCCCTCAAAGAAAGTCCAAATCCAAAATAATATCACACACTCAGTATATTATACGGAGTAAAACATTAGTATGAAACATTTTACAAGATTAATGAAGGTTAATAATAATAAAAAAAAAACAGTGCTAATAAAACAGTGTTGCTAACATCAATTTTATCATTTTTTTTCCTGCTGTTTCTCAACTTTATCTTTTGTTTTTTTTTTTTTTTGTTAATAAAACATTTTATCCTTTTTTCGTGCTATGTTGCTAAAAAAACAATGCTAATATCAACTTTTTCCTGCTGTTTATCAACTTTATCATTTTTTTAAGTCAATTATTTTTAGTTTTAAAGTTTTATTATTAATTGTATACATATATTATATATTATAATGTTAACGGGGATTCGGGGACGGGCGGGGATCGGGAGTCGGGGTGAGGTGCAAATCAAATTCCAACTAGAAATGAAATCGAAGAGGCTTGATTCAAGCTCGAGCTCGTGTGCGCCCGCATCACAAGGCCATTTTCCAACACACTATAGCGCCACTGGAGATGTGTTGCTCTG